GAGAGAGAGAAACATCAATGGTGAGAGAGAATCATTGATCCGCTGCCTCCTTCACACCCCCAACTGGGAATCAAGCCCACAACCCGGGCATGTGCCTTGACCAGAATCGAACCCAGGACACTTTAGACCACAGGCCAACACTATATTCACTGAGCCAAACCAGCTAGGGCTTCACAAAGTTTTGGTGCATTATTTTTAAAAGAAAAATATTAGAAATAATTCATGTCCAAAAGGGTCTGGTAAAGTAAACTAGTACATCCACACAGGAGAGAACTATGGAGCTATAAAAAAAAAAAGTAAGATCTCTCTTTACTGCTAAGTGGTAATCTCTAGGATACATTACATGGAAAAAAGGAAGGAGAGGATATAAGTAATCTATATGACAATCAGGGAAAATATTATTTGCTTATTTAAAAAAATCCACAGAGAAATTCTTGCTAATTGTGTGACTCTGTTATTCCTTTCCTTTTAGTGGGCAGCCAAAGCACATACTTATTTACTTAAGATGATGCTCAGGAATGGTTAGAGTAGAAACTTTATACATTTTCAATGCAATGCCAAACATTCTCATTTTACTTTTGAGTTAATTTGTGAAAGCTTTGTTTTGTCATTTATTGTGATATATATATATACACACACACACACACACACACTAGGGGCCCAGTGCAGGAATTCGTGCACCTTGAAAGGAACTGTGGGCCGTGAGGCTGCGGTGGGCACAGGGGTGGGTCTCAGCCCATCCTCCTGCTGCGGCTCTTGGTCCCCTGTCTGCCAGCAGCCCCACTCCCACCTTGGCCACTCCCATGTGCTGATGGCGCCCTCCCCACTCGCACTGGACCCTGCTTGTACCCGCTGATGGTGCTGAGCGATTGGGACTGGCACCAGACGCCAGCAGCGGGTGTGAGCAGTGGCTCCGGCTCCGGCTGCAGGTACAAGCAGCCGGCTCTGGTGCCGGCAGAGGGTGCGAGAGGTGCCTGCCGGCCCTGATTGCCCCTCAGGAGCAGGAGGAGGTGGAGAAGCCCTTAGGGGAGATCGGGGCCAGCAGCCGCCGCTCGCACCTGCTGATAGCGCCGAGCTATTGGGGCTGGCGCTGGGCACTGGCAGTGGGTGCGAGTGGCGACTCTGGTGCCAGCAGTGGGACCACAGTGCATGGGAGCAAAGAATTTTCAGTAACCACCAGAAGCTCACCTTGATGACAGCGACGGGCACCCCGCCTTGGTCTGGCACCCCCACTCACCTGCTCCACCATCCTGCCATGGCCAGCGCTCACCATGTTCTACCCTCTGCCACCTGCTGCGGATGCCTGCCATGTTCCATGTGCACCCCCTGGTTGTCAGCGCACATCATAGCGACCGGTTGTTCTGTTGTTCTGCTGTTCGGTCTATTTGCATATTCGTCTTTTATTATATACAATAGGATTATATAGATTGTGCTTACATTTCATTTGATTCTCACAATGGTTTTAGTATAGGAATTATATCCGTTTTTCATTTGAGAAGACAGGCTTTGAGTGGTATGAATTTGAGTTGTCCAAGTTTTGAAAAATGATGCTTGCTAGAGCAGGAATGTTAATTCCAGATTCATGGCACATAGAAATAGAATTTATATATTGACACATCATGTGAGCAGCTTTGGGGATACTACCTTTTTTCTCACCCCCATTTTAAATTTTATTAAAGCAATTACACTGTACGGTTAAAATAGTAACATTGCATAATGTGAAATGAAATTGAGGTAAATTGCAACTCAGAAATAAAGTCTGAGACACTAAGCAAAGTGCTTTTTAGAAATACAAAAAAAAAAGGTGCACTTCTCTATATGAAGTGTCACATCTTTGTCAC